ACTTCACATCTTGATGGGAAGAGAGGCAAAATCACAATGCAAAAGGACATGTGTCAGGGATAGTAATACTTTTCCAGCCATCTAATTTACACCCACCACACTGATTTGTAAACAGAGCTCTGTTTTAGAGCTGGAAGGGATGAGTTCAGGATAGAAGGAAAAATAATTAAAACATAAGAAAAAACAACTATGATGCAGATTTTGAATATGATAAGTAAGTGCCTTACAATAGGATCAGCTAAGTGTGAGGGGAGTTCAGATCAGAGAGATCCTTATCCATTTTTTTGGCGGGGGGCTGGGGAGAGTGCCAAGGATTGAACTTAGGGGCACTCAACCACTAAGCCACACCCCCAGCCCTATTTTTTTGTTTTATTTAGAGACAGGGTCTCACTGAGTAGCTTAGTGCCTCACTTTTGCTGAGGATGGCTCTGAACTCAGGATCCTCCTGCCTCAGCATCCCGAGCCGCTGGGATTACAGGCATACACCACTGTACCCGGCCAGAGAGATCCTTTATTGCCAATGAGGGGTGAGTCAGTGAGTTGGGAAGGCTTCATTAGCTTGACCCTGAAATATGGTTAGTATCTGGATCTGTGGAGATGGAGAAAATTCTATTCCAGGTAAAGAGAAGAGTAATGTTAGGACAACCAAGACATGCTTAGGAAATCCAAATACATCTAGCCTATCTGGGGTGTGAGGGTCAAGAAGGGGGGTTGTGAGGCCCAAGACTGGAAAGATAAGGGTGGTCCAGCTGTGGATGAATTTGAGATTGAACTTCACTCTGTAGGCAATGGGAAGCCATTGAATACTTTTCAGAAGACAAGTGAAAAGAACTGTATTATGAGAAGACTCTTGCCCATGGTCATTAGGATGGCTTGGAGTGGGAAGTGAAAAGGGAATTAGGCGCTCATTAGATAACGAAGGAGCTAGGGGCCTAGACAGAGGGATTGGCCAGGAGCATCAGGAGTAGGAAAAACATGGATAGTTCCTGATGTGTGGCTGCAGTGGGGAATGAAGAGGTGTCAAGGATGATTCTGCTGCCTATAGGATGGCAGAGGGGTAGAAGATTCACTTACAAAGCAAGAAAGTCTGGGGGAAGACCAGGTCTGGAAGGAACTCATGGATGTGGGGAATCTATGGGACCTCCAGGCAGTGCCCGATTGGAGTCTGACATCGCATGACTATGGAAGGAGAGAGAAAGGCAGGGAGAGTAGAAGAAGTTGCTGGAGCAACCCTGCACAGAGTGTTTTAAGGTGCTTAACTACCAAAAACATCAGACGTGGTCAGATGCTTGAGGAGGAAGGATGAGGAAAGACCACTCAGCACATTTGGCCATGAGATCAGGGCAACCTCCCAGTAGATCAGAGGAGACTGAAATTCCATGGCGTTTGATGAAGAAGAGACAGGCATCCTGCTCTCTGGAATTCATGTTGGAGAGAGCCTCTGTTCTCACATAACCCCAGAACCACCCTCTCTTTCCACTTCAAACCTACTAAAGTGAAAATCTTTAAAATCTTGAAAATAAAACAAACATGGCTGTTCCTTTCCACCCTTGAGGAGGGAGGCAGCTGGTCTGTCCCTGATCTGTCTCCCTTTCTCCAGCCAGAGATCAGGCACTGGCGGGCTGTTTACTTCCCAGTGGAGCCCTGCTGTGTTTTCACATCTAAAAATAGTCATACACACACACACACACACACACACACACGCAGGCGTGGCGGGAGAGGAACCTCACTAACCTCACTGTTTGTTTTCATGAGGATTCTGGGCTTCATCTCTTCCTTCCCCTGCATCAGGGCCTTTATTTTAGAACTCTCAGAGGGGGTAATGTGTGGGTCGAAAGGGTCCAAAACTACTAATTTTCTAATTATCACACCCAGTTGGGATCCTGGAAAAGGAAAGCAATAATAACCTTCTGTACAGCATTGGTGTTTGGGTTGGGATGAAATTGTCCCAGCTATTAAAGAAACAGTTAATGAAAGGATTACAAGGACAGAGCTGGAGGGTGAAGGGGGGTGAGTCCCATCTGAATGGCAGCCAGGTGCACTGTGAGGAGCTGACTTTGCTACAGAATTGTGGGGTCCTCTCTGACTCGTGGCACCTGTGTTAGCCAGCTTTTCATGGCTGTTTCCAACATATCTGAAAAGGACAATTTAAAGGAGGAAAAGTGGTTTTTTGTTTGTTTTGTTTTTATTTTCTTGAAGTACCAGAGATTAAACCCAGGACCCTGCACAAGTTATGCAAGTGCTCTACTAATGAGCTAAATAGCCGGCCCTTTTTTATTTTGAAATAAGGTCTCACTAAGCTGCCCAGGCTGGCCTTGAACTTGCAATCTTTGTGTCTCAGCTTCCTGAGTAGCTGGGATTACAAGCATGTGCCTCCGTAACCAGCAGAAAAGTTTATTTTGGTTCATGATTTCAGAGTTGTCCAATTCACGGAGGGCTAACTCCATTACTGTGGGCCAGAGTTGAGGCAGGACATCATGGCAGAGGGTAGTGGCACCCAGAAAGCAGAGAAAGAGTGAGAGGAGAAGGGAAGGGAGGGAGGGAGGAAAGGGGGTGAGGCTAGGGAGAAGATAAGCCATTCCAAGGTATGTCCCTAGTCCCCCAACTAGGACCTACCTCCCAGTAGTCCATTCAACTATCCATGAACTAATCTATCAAATGGACCACTGATGAGGTCAGAGCCCTTGGGATCCAATCATTGCTTAAAAGCCATACCTCTGAACCTTGCTGCAATTGGGGACCATGCTTTTAACAAACAAGACTTTGTGAGGACATTCCAAAAACAAATATTAATAGCAACCCTTGGGTCTGTGTTCTGACAGCCTTGGTATTTAGATGTCCCAGGGTAGAAAGAAGACTAACTTCACTGGGTATTCTTTAAAATTATTTGCATTTTAAAAAATCAGTGAATGTATTACTTTTGAAAAAAAAAATTTCTTGAGAAATGGTGTCTCACTATGAACCCCAAACTTGTGGGTTCAAGTGATCCTCCTATTTCAGCCTCCCAAGCAGCTGGGGCTATAGGCAAATACTATTGCACCCAGATGACAATATTTTAATTTAAAAAACAGTGCTTTCTAGCCATGTGCTGTAGCGCATCCATGTAATCCCAGTGAATAGAGAGGTTGAAGTGAAAGGATCTCAAGTTCAGGTCAGCCGGGGTAACTTAGGTAGGCCCTATCTCAAAATAAAAAAGGCTCTGAAAGAAATTATGAAAGCAATTCCAACCACATTTTGAAAGCTTCCTTCCCTTGCCTCTGCCTCCCCCCATCAACCAAGATTAACTCCTAACAGGAAGGAGCTACATTTGACAGAAAGAACACTTCCTAACTGCAAGAATGGTTTTGGCACTGTCAAAGGATAGATTGATAATGGTAAAAGAGTCTACCATCTGTTCATGTGAGAACTGGTTGACCCTGTGTGGAAACAAGATACTTCCTGGTGGGAACAACAGCTTCTTTGGGTGTGGGGGCTTGAGGAAAAGGAAGGAGAGGAAGAGGAAGGTCAGGCTGGGATTCCCATAAAGGTTTTGGAGCTTCCTTTGATTTTGGTAGAAGGCAGGTCCTGGGTTGGCAGAAGGCAGGGAGTGAGTGGGAAGCTCTTAGCTATTTGTAATGAAGCAAATACCTTCAGGTATTTTTCTGTGGACAAAATGTCCAGCCTTTTCTGAGACCCAGCTCCCACCACCTGGTCAATAGATGCACAGTTCAAGGTCCTAAAGCTGATCTTTCTCACCGCACCAGAGATAAGTTAGCCATTTTCGCTGGCTAACAATGATTAATCCATCTCCACCTGTTTTTCCCAACATGTTTTTCTAGCACATGAGCTGGGTCATTCACTCTGAAGGTGATAGCCATTGAACCAGCCAGTTTCTACCATCCACTACTACACACCTCCCCCATTGATCACCTAATAGGAGAGCAAAAAAGCGCCTAAAAGATAAAAAAAAAAAATTAATAATTTTAATGAGACGGTGCATCTTACTGTTTGGGTTGTAACCCTTCAGAGAATCTACCCTGCTGCTGAGAGCAAGTTATGATGTTAAGCCATGCTGCAAAGAAAAGACCACTGACTCCAATTTTAAATCAAATTAAAGCAAGCTTGTAATTCTGGCCAGGACTGTGTCTCCCGAAATCCTTGGGTTAGAGAACAGTACCCCAGCTCTCTAGGAGCATAGTTTTATAGCACAAAAAGTTGCAAAGGGTGTGTAGGGGGGTGCCTTGAGAACTTACAGATAATAGAATTTCGACAAGCATAATACAAAGGCAGATAGTAGATTAATGATCTAAATGGTTCAACATTTCAAGTTAGGGAGTAAATCTATTTATTTATTTACTTATTTATTTATTTTTGAGATAAAGAAAATTATACATCATTTATTATCATATAATACTAGATAATATTAAAGAATCACTCTTAATTTTGTTGGCAATATATAACAGTAGTATTGTTACATACCTTATGGTTATTAAGTCCTTACAATTTTTGAGAGAACCAAATATAACACTTGTTACATGAAAAACATCTATACCTTCATATTGTTCTTTTGTGGAAAATCAAGCTTTATTTCAAAGTAATCCAAGAAGAGAAGAGCAGTCAGGGGGAACATACTTACAAACTGGATGGGAGCATACAGATACTTAATCCATTTGGCAAAGGCTCAGTCAGAAGACTCAGCAATTCCTGCTGATCCTCCAACACCTACCCAGTTTCCTCTTCAGGCTGAAACTACTGAGTAGTCTGGAAGATGCCCACGATGTCTGTGTTATCCAAACACACTCCCATTTCAGGAAAGAGGACACCTGTGGTCTACTTATTGAGGGATCTGATTAATTATTAAAATAAATATTTACATTGAGAATATAGTAAACTATTAACTTTCTTCACATTTTCACATTTTTAACCAGAGGTTTCATGTTTTAAGCAATTGAGTTGGTAAAGATCCTGTCTCCATTTTATAGGTGATGGATTACATTCAATTACTCCTTATAACTGAAAGATCATTTCATTGCTTTTGAAGTACTGGATGAGTTGGCATCTGCGATGGTAGCTAAATAAATGAGATTTCTATGTAACACAATCTGGTACTGGACACACTTGTTCGCTCGACCCTTGTTCTGATACTCCACAATACAGCGGATCAGCTGGTCATTCTCCAGGAGCTTCCTTTGATTTTGGATGGTCTCTTGATTGGCTTCTGCCTTGCCCCTCATCCAGTCAGGTACAAAGGCCACAGACATCACAGGGCGCCCAAGTCAGCACCCCACCTCAGAAAAAGACGCCCATTGGCAGCCAGACAGACGCTATCTCCGCTCTGAAGGCTAGAGAGTAAATTTGGATCCCAACACTAGAATTTACTGAGGTTTCAGAGAGGGTTGTTATCTGGTTAGGGAAAACCAGAATTTATGAGGCGCCAGTAAGGTTTCAGAGAGGGTTATTATCTGGTCAGGGAAAGCCAAGCATGAATGAGTTCAAGGCATGGGCAGGCATTAGAAATTACAGTAATTTATAGTAAAACAAAAATTAACTTTTCATGACTTTGTGATGAGATGGCTTGCAATCTTTAGATGGAATTAGGCTGGGTTTATCATTCCCCCCTTGTCTTATGTGTCCCTTTCAAATCTTTGATAGGGTAGAGGAAGAGCTCTGGAGGAATTTTAATTCCTCAGGTGACAGTCCCCAACTTCCTGGACTCATCCAAAACTGGCCTCCCTGATCCGACCTGACTCAATTTACCTATCTATATTGACTGTCTATCTATTTCTAACTTCATTGTTGTAAGAAAAAGAGGCAACAATCATTTTGGCTTCTTCATAGCTGAGAGTGGGCAATGTGGGTTGGTGGGAAAACAGCATTGGAGTTCAGGTCAGATTGAAGTCTGGTTAGGGAAGAACAGGTTGTAAAGTTCTGTGCAGATGGGTGCTTCTATGAAAGAGAAACAAAAAACATGAGTACTGAACAAATATTGCTGCCTTTGGAACATGTCAATGAATATCATGAAGATGACAGAAGTTAAAATTTTCTCACCAGGAGGTGTGAAGACTGAGAAGGTGTCCCCATAATAAGGCCAGAGTGGACAAGGCCTTTATATAGGAATGTAAATCTTTAACATCTCTAGAGTTATCAGGAACGTAAACACAACATTTAACTTTTAATGTTGGAGATGTCCATCTCCATGAGATGTAGTTAAGCTACTCAATGTCATCTGATCTTGTAAAATTTGTGCTGGTATGACCTCCGTGTCTAGTAGAGAACCCTTTATTTCTGTTACTTAGGGCTGGATAATCATACTAGCAAACACCAAGCCTACCTGTAGGCCTTAAATTAACTAAATTCTGACTCTGGCAGTTCCTCTTGATAGTTTCTTTTGATAGTTATCAGGCATTCCTGCCTAAGAATCTCTCTTTATAGCCTCCAGTCTTACTTATTTTAGGGGCTAACATAAGTGTATATCTTAAGTTACATTTAACTATTATTATTTATCTTTAAATGTCCTGGTGTAACTATGTTTTGGTTTTAACTGTTTTTGCTATGTGTTTAAGATGAAACAAGTCAAACTGACTTTTGTTTTTATCTATTATTAAGAGTCAGCTGAGTTTCCATAGGAGACACTCTTGAGGGAACTTGAGAGCAATTTCTTAGTTCTGCTAGTGCCATTTGCGCTAGGATGGGTCCAGATCTTGCTGACCATATGGCTTCCCTTGGAAGCACCAGGGATGTCTCCTTTCTCCAATAACCCTCCTCTTCATGGTAAGTGCCTCCATTGGCTTTCTGTTCTCCAGTGGTCTAATGAATCTCCCTGATTGGGAGGTTATGTGGCCTAGAGTTGCAAAGCTCTTTAGAGAAGTTCCCTGTTCCCTGGGTTTAGACTGATTCAGAAGGCAAAAGCCAAATATTGGTTCTTGGTCCCTTTTAATTTAACTTTAATCTTTAAATCTTGATCTTAAACATCTAGCAAGTCAGTTTCATCAGTCTTAAATTAAGAATACTGGGCTTTAACTTTAATGTCTATAACCTTACATTAATTGGGGTCTGTGCTATCCTGTGCGTCCTTTAAGTGATGGCTTATTATCTTAAATTAACACAGGTTGTGTGCTCTTGAAGCAATACCTCTTTAAAACATTAACAGGCAACATTCAGACATTTTTAAAGAAAATACAAAATAAAATTTACAAGAGTAAAAACATATTTAATTTGTGCAATAACTACCTTGAGCTTTGACTGAGTTATATTATAACCCCTATTTGAGATCTTAGTAATCTTAACAACAAAAATCAATCTTTTGAATACAACTTTAAATAAACTGAAGTCTGGCCTGCTGTGGAGTCATTCTGACATGTATTAAGATGGGAGGCAGAGCCTTATCTCAGGTAAGGCAGGGCTCTTTATAAATCTTAAGTGTTCTAGTTCTGAAGCTGATTTTTGTTTCTTATATATCATTTTATAAAGTTTACATATATTGTTGCTCGAGGTCATATGAATATTAGCTAACACAATATGATATTACATTTAAAATATGAATTACAGAAAGGCTGAGAGCTTTTAACCTTTTGTGGAAAAGTTGCAAAATGTTTGTGTTCTTCATTATTAACCTTTACATAGACTAGGCTCTCATTAACTTAAAAATTGTACCCCAGTGTAAAAAGTAACATAAAACTTTAGATCTTATTGATAACAGGTCCCGTTACAGAATATTAAATGGTATAAATAAATCTCCAATAAAGTTTATCATCCTTATAAGCCCAAAATTACCATACAACTTTAGTTTGGAAAACACCAGCTTGATATAATGTTCTTTTAAAGCTTCTACCTTAAAGACTTATATACCTGGAAGATATGAACATATTTAATATACAAATAATAGTAATAACACCATAATTACATTGATATTTTTATATTAATTAAGTTTAGGTCTTAAGGAAATAACATGTTATAATATTTCAAAATGACAGTGTTGTTTAACCATAATTGTGTAATCCTTAATCCCTTTAAGATTACTTGCTCAAAAAAAAATAAAAAGACAAACACAATGTTATGGGTAAATCAATGTTTTAAGAAATCCTTGTCTTTTTAACATATAGATTAAACTTTGGTTTATATCAATATATTAACATTTGACCTTAAGGAAAAACTTCAAAAAGCCTTGACTGATCATTTTACATATATATATATGTATATATATATATCCAACACATATAGAACTTTTAATTTCTCTTTTCTATCTATTATCCCCCTTTTTGTTCACAATATGAAACAATCCTTGTAAATTTTTGAATTTAGATAAATTATTTCATTTTAATAAAAAGAAATACTTTATGTTGTTTACATTACTCTTAATTGAAACAGTTAAAACTTTTGGGCCTTTTCATATAGAAATCTTCAATATCCTTTGTTTATAGAATTAGATCTGTTTACCATTTCATGAAAACAACAATGTTTAAGTATATAGAATTATGACTGTTGGGACTTTAATTTTTTACTAAAACCTTTTTTTAGTGATGACAAAGCAAGTTTAAACCCCTTTTTTTTTTCATTTACCAATTTATGAAAACATCAATAATGTTACCCAATCAAATTTAAGGAGTTAAGAGCACTTGGTGGTATATTTAACAGTATTTTAACCTTGTAAATTAATCAGATATCTAACAAACAAAATTACTGATAAATATGAGTAATCCCATGTCAAATCTACTTTACTTATTTTACCAAAATATCAGACAAGTATATTTAATGGTATTAGCCATTTCTTCCTTGTTGAAGAAAATTTCTAGAATCAAGGGATATTAGACATTTTATAAACATCAACATTTTATTATTTTTTTGACCACCTAGGGAGCCTTGTGAGTTAAATTTGATTTTAAAGACATATTTATTTTCATCTGTTTACCCAAATTAAATTGAACCATTTTAAATCATGTGAATTAAAGGTATTTGGATCTATTTTTTTAATTTTATGAGCACTCCTTATATACCTGCCAATTTTCATATCATGTACATGATATATGGACACATGCACATATAGACATACAACACATAACACAAGTGTGCACACATAACACAATGGTAAAGGTCTTGTAGCTTTTTGCAGGTGAAATCTCCATTGCAATGTTTAAAACCTCCATAGTTGAACAAAAATTAGGACTGATTGGAAAAACATTAACCTAGGTCTGTAGGATTAAAATTATGAGCTCAAAAAATACAGAATCTAAGAAAAAGCAAGAGTCCTAGAAAAAAAATGACCAGGAGGTAATTAGTAAAGTATCATACAATTTATTTTTTGGTTTAGTCTAATATAAGTTCAGGTAAAGGGCACGTTTACTTTCTTTTTTTAGGGTCTAAGACCAGTCTCCTACTGAGCTTTCATTTGCATTTCAGTGTAAGTCCTGGCTTAGGTCCAGAAAGAGCTAGGGAAAACTGCTGTTCTGAGCAGAAACCTCATGCCTAAGGCGTTTTAACCATTTTTTTCCCTAGTCAGTAATTGGACAGGTTTGGATGTCTAGAATTATGCTACCTTACTTTCTACTACCTTTGGGAACAAAGCTATGATGTTAAGTTCCTTACTAAGATAAGCCATTTGTTGTTGAGCAAGTCCACTTTCTTGTGTGGCCATTCCTAGGTTTTGTCTTCCTCTCTCAGTGACAAACAGGATAAATCTTGCTCCAAAGCCTGTTCATAACTCAGGGGGAGTAAACCTTTTGGTTATAGGCTGTTCAGATATTTTTAAGAGGTCTAAGGTAAGAGGTGAGAACAGAAAAGCTGGTACTTGTATTCAAGGGGAAATTGGCTTCTGGCCCCTACAGAGAATCAGGAGAAGCATACCTGGAGCATCTGAGGCTAGAGTTTGGCTAAGGTTACTTCCACACATCTAAGGCAGATCAGAACTCAATGCTCTCTGGGCCTGGACAGAAAAGTAGGAAAGGGCTTCAGCAGGCAGAGCCCAACATGCCTGTTCTGTATTGAACGGTGATTGAGAGCTGCCTAGGCCGGGAAACCTTTCACCCGAGTTTTGAGGAGTTGCAGTTGCATTAGCTGCATTTATAGCCATCGGGGGCTCATATCATCCTTCAGAAAGAAAGAAAGTGGCACGGCGGTGAGAGGATAAAGATGAGCTAAAGTATTTGCATCCAACTCAGTTTTTTTTTAATATATTTTTTTTAGTTTAAGGTGGACACAATATCTTTATTTTATTTTTATGTGGTGCTGAGAATCGAACCCAGTGCCTCATGCATGCTAGGCGAGC